AGAGAGAGAGAGAGAGAGAGAGAGAGAGAGAGAGAGAGAGAGAGAGAGAGAGAGAACGCCAAGTGGAAAGCAAACGCAAAATGTGGTTGTGTATAATTACCAAACGATGACAATAGATGAACGGCAAGGCTTGGACTTGGCAGTCGCAAGGCGAAAAATGTCGCAAAGTGCTCAGCAGGGGATGAGTGACGGTGCTTACTGATAATTTCAAAACGCAAAAAATCCTAAGACTACAAGATTATTAAGTACCGTCGCCTGCACCAATACCACAGCAACGGTCATGGCACTCCGGAAAAAAAAAAAAAATTACGCAGACGAAAAAATTAAACAACCCCTCCCCCCTAGAAACATGCCTTCAAAGGATCAGGAAGCATGCTGATCAACGAGGACGGAGGAGGACAACGGGAAGATTGCAGTGCATGGGCCGTCGATGGGGTAGAAGACACTGCAAGCGGCGAAGGGTAATTAGTAAGTTCCCCAGGCAATGTCGTGAACGACAGGGTTCCCTATTCTACCTCTCACGTATAGCCTTCGCTATCTCCAGTAGTGCTTGGCACATGAGCTTGGTCACACTGTCTAAAGCCGCGTAGTGCTTTCTCTGCACTTCCACCTCCGCTTCCATGGCTTCGCATTGTCGAAGTTGAATGGAACACTGCCTCTTGCCAGCGCTCCCCATCGTCGTCGCCATTAGCGTCCTGTGCTTCTCCCTGCATTCCGTGAGAGCTTCGAAAGTTTGTTGCCTAACATTCTTCCTCTTCCCGAAACCGGCACTGCTGCCCATCGTTGGCGAAGACCCTTTCGTGGAGTTGTCCTCTTCGTCATTGTCATCGCCACCCGTGTCCCCATCGCCGACAGATTGAGGGCTGCCTGCAAACCCGGACGACAGCTGCACACCACCGGAACCGCCTGTGTTGGCTACATGCTTCGGGTTTATGGTGTGATTCTTCGCGGTGGAACCCTTGATCTCCTCATACACGGCCCGATCCATGGTGAAATTGAAGCCATGAGTAGACCTCTCCTTCCCCGTCAATTGAAAGAAGTCCTGCTTCCCAGATTCCCCCTGGAACAAGTGCACCTTCTTGAACTGTTGCATCAAGTTGTCCCATTTCTTCCCACACTTGTCGGTTGTCCTCTCCACGCCAACCTTCTTCAACCTCTCTTCAACATCCGCCCACTTCCATTCCCTCGTCTTCATGTGAGCGCATGCGTGGCCCATCCCCTGCATATGCGCTTCCTCGTCCCACTTCGCCCTGATGATGGCGTTCATGTGGTCAACTGACCAGAAGTTTCGCCCGGCCTTGCCCTCCACGTCGCCTTCCCCCTCGCTCCCCGCAGCCGCCCTTTTTTTTCCCCTTCACGCCGTTGACGAAGAAGCCTTCGTCATCCTACTCTGACCAGCCATGGTTTTCTGCCGGATCTGCCAAACGTCGGCCGTCTCGTCGTCCTCGGCAGCGTCGTCGTAATCGTCGCAATCCACTACCGTCGGCTCCTTCTTTGCCATCCCTTCCCGCACGTGCAGTCACTGGACCCCCCACGTTATGCACTCCTCGTGTTCTCTGCGCACCTGCTGCCGATGTTCCACCCACACCTGCCTCCCAACCCGCTCACCGGGAGCGCTCGCAAAATCTTCGTTCATCGACACGTGGCCAGTTGTGCGGCCACTCTTGCTTCCATCCCCCGACAACAGCGATGATGGCTACATCCAGTTTTGACGACTGGCAGCAGCACGTGGTGCTGATGACGGGTGTGACTGGACTATCGGACGCTCCCTTGTCTTCTCTGATGCCACCCACTCCCCGCTCGGAGCCTTTGCTGATCGGCCGACTGCTGTCATTTGCCCCACGTCGTCGTTGGGGTGGCGGTTGATGAGGAGAGTGCGGGTTGTGGCTGATGAGCTCCTGCTACACAGCCCGAATGAAAGATTCACGCCGGCTGCATCGTCGCTTTTGTGAATGCCGTCTTCCAATAGTTCGATGTAAGACTACCGAGACGTCGTCTCACAATTCCCATACAATCGGCTCTCCGCCCACTCCTGGGTGGAGGCGCTTCCCAGTGCCACGGTACATGACCGTGCTTCCTCCGCCTCCTCATCTGACATGTCTGGCAAGGGTTGTTCGTGTGGTGGCAAGTGCGCGTATGCAGACGGATCGTACCGTGGCACTGCAGTGCATGTCAGGACGTTGCGCGTCCCGTAGCTTGCGACTCGGTCCACTGGAGTCCTGTTCTTCGCTTGCCGCCCTTCCATGCTGACGCCCTTCGTGGAGGAACGCCTCTTGCGCATGCATCCAGGCAGCCTACCGAGGATGCACACGTGGAAGACGACGACAAGGATAAGTGTGACCAACACCAGGAACAACAACGGTAGTCTCCGAAAGTCATCTGCCATGAACTACACGTGGGGAAGGGCGGTAACTACAAGACGTCGGTACAGCTGCAGCAAACGGTGACGACACGACGGTAGGAAACGGCGACGAGAAGAGGGCAGAAAACTACAGACTGTACAATTCGACTGGCGTCATGTAGCTGGGAATAAAAAGTTCGCCAGCCTCAAATATTCGAATTGTCCGTCCGTTGGGGCGCTTTTCGTTTGGCGCCACGCACTGCGAGGGAGAACGGTTGTAGACGACGTGTGCAGGAGTCAGCAGGCCACCAACGGTTGCCGTTGGGGTACGATTCCTGGAGGCCGAACGTCGAAGACCGATGATGTCCGTGCGCCGCTCGGTAGGAACTCCAATGGACGAGCCGACCAAAATTTCTTGCCGACGATGGGTGCCCTCGCCGCTCCGTTTATCCCGGATCCTTCGCCTCCAAGGGACCTCGGGAGGTACCTTGGGGGAATCCGCAAAATGGTTGTGGCCCGAGGATTCCCCGAGGATGGCCCAAGGAAATGTTTTCACTTCTTTTTTCGTTTTTTTCCCTCGAGGATAGGTGGAATGAAGATTTCCTCGGGGATTGTACGTGCCCGATGAGTGTCTAGCGAGCCCCTTACCCCCAAAAAACAAGTAAAGAAAAAAGTGAATGCAAACTGACTACCGTAGGGGAAAGGAGAGAGGGTACTTGGAGCAAGGAGTTGTCAAGGGTTCAATACCTAGTGGATGAACTTTTTTTTTTTTCAATGTTTTTTTTTGCTTTGTTTTATGGATAATTTGCAAAATACCCCCATAAGTTGAGATATATGCCAAAATGCCCCTGAAAGATTTGGGTAAAACGAAGAATACCAGAGGCAATGAAGAGAACAAGAACAATAGGCCAAGAAAGTTGAAGAAATAAAACAAAAAAATCATATTGTGGATTTTGAAACTGACATGACGTCTGTCTTGCAAAATATGATGGCTTACCTAGCGCACCTAGAAATTAAAATTGATCACATCACCACAAAACTACAGATGACGGGACTTGTAAAAGGAAAGAACAAGGTTGTGCATGAAAAGGTACTCGAGAAAAAAGGAAAAAAAAAAAGAGCCTCAGGAAAAGTTGATGAAAGACGCCATGAAACCCCGAGACCCGAAAGAACCCGAGCCCGTTGAAAAACAAGAACCCCAAAAAAGAAAGAAGGGGAGAAACCAAAGAGAAAGGAAAGGGTGAAAATAAAGTTGGCTTCACTTGAGAGATGATTAACGGGAGACCAAATATTCATGGTTAACCAAGGGTGATATTTTCAGCGAATTTTGCACCGAAACTGTCACAGGTTGAGTCTTGAATTTTACCTTGTACTGCTTCTGCGGTCTTCCCCAGCCACTTGTGAAAAAATATCCATGTTCCAATATTCGTTCAACTTCGTAACCTCCATTCATAGAGGGAGAAAACATGGATGGTTGGTTGGGGAACTCATAGCCTTCGATGTATGGTAGTAGTTTGGAAACATTGAAGACAGGATATGTTTTGAGGTGAGGGGGTACGTCAATGCGATATGACGGACCGTCAGTGTCCCCTATCACCTTGAGAACTTCCCAGACTCCATAGTAGACATGTAGCAATTTTCGAGACACATTATCTTCGAGAGAGAATTCTTTAAACTTTACCCAAAATCAGTCTCCTTCTTTGAACTGAGATGATCGACGATGCGTGTTTGCTTGTTCGATCATCTGAAGTTGGACTTTCTAGGTATTTTCCTTTACTTTTGTTATGTTATTTTTGTGCAGAATTGCAAATTCTTTTGTTGTTGGGGGTAGTCGTTCGACATGTCCCAAGACGAAAAACAGAAACTCTTCATGTGGTCTTACGTTATCAACTAAATACAAACTTAGGTCTTTGAGAAAAACAGTGTATCGGTTGGGCAAGGTTCCCTGATCAAAGCATCAATGAGATGTCTCGACTTCCAACCTTTGTGAAGTGCGTTGGGTGTTTTGTTGGTAACGGTATAAGCACTATTGTTGTATGCACTTGTTTTTTTTTTTGTAAGTTCTCATCCCAATCAATTTGATCTGACCTAACATATATTCGCAAAAGTTGTTTCAACAGTTTGTTCATTTTCTCAGTTTATCCATTCGTTTCAGAGTATCTACCTGACGACATGGTCAGACTCGTGCTATAGGCTTCCATTAGCTTTTGCCATTGTAGGCCTGTAAACCGTATGTCTCTATCAGAGACGTTCATACTTAAACCTAAAGTGACCCTCAGTGTCATGACATTCCCCCATAGACATATTTTTGATGTCTTCTCTATGGGGAATGCATATTTTTTCTTCGATTTGATCAATAAAAAAAAACAACTCATCAATCATTCGGTATTCATGAAAGATTTCAGGGTTCTTCTGAAGGGTTTGTATGGTAGGGTTCCATATGGAATCCCCAGTATACCCTTTACGGATTCGGTCCTTCAACTCATTCCCGATGTCAAGGTAGGTAACAATCGTACCAAAGAAATCAGAGCGCCCGAACAAAGCATCATCAACAATATTAGATTTTCCTTTAATGGTTTTCAACTCAAAATTAAATGTGTCGATGAATGTAGAGCATCTTACTAACTTGTCAGAGAGTCGTGGTTGAATCTTGATCCACTTCAGGGTTGAGTGATCTTAGTAAACCGTGAAGTGTCTTCCGAGAAAGTAGTGCTTCCATGTGTCCAGTGCTTCAACTAAGGCATACAATTTTTTTTCGTAGGTGGAGTTAGCTACCTTATCAGATCGAAGGCGTTTAAACGTGAACTCGATAGGTTTATACTCTATCCCCTCATCTTGTTGTAACACAACTTCAATCCCAAACAGACTTGCATCAATTGTGACAATGAAAGGAAGTGGTGAATCAACAATCTTCAACACATGATAATGAGTTAACGTGTGTTGTAACTTCTTAAACGCATGCTCACAATCATTGTCCTATAACCAAATTTTATTTTTCTTTAGCAATTTTCTCATTGTTGCTGCTATAAGGGAGAAGTTCTTCACGAACTTCCTATAATAGCTAGCAAGTCGTAAGAAAGATCGCAACTCAGTGATAGTCGTAGGTCTCGGTTAATCTCTGATTGTGGTGATCTTCTTTTCCTCAAGCTTGAGTCCCTCTTCATTTACTATGTGTCAAAGATAAAGTACCTCAGACTTAACAAACTCTAACTTCTTTGGATTTAACTTATAGTTACTTACTCTTAGCTTCCCTAGAACCATTCGTAGATGTTTCCAATGGTCTTCCAACGTCTTGCTATAGACGAGGATGTCGTCGAGATACATCACTACGAATTAATCTAGCCACTGCCAAAACAGTTCATTCATAGACCTATGAAGGTTGTGGAGGCGTTAGTCAAGCCAAATGGCATCACAACAAACGCACAGTGTTCATACCTTGTTTTGAACGTCGTCGTCTTTTAACTCCATGTGTCACCTCGATCTAGTGATATCATGACTTCATATCAATTTTGTTGAAATACTTGCAATCCTGCAGTTGATCGAGAAGATCGTCAATACGAGGAAGAGGTTTTGGATTTATGATAGTTATGGAATTCGGTCATCGTTAGGCAATACACCGTCTAAGTTCTCCTTCTTTTTTAGGTACGAATAAGACAGGTCCACCGTAGGGAGAGAAACTTAGTCAAATTTATGCTTTGGCAGTAAGTTCTTGCAGTTGCTTTTTCAATTTTTTTAATCCCATCGGGGACATTCGGTAGATCGGTCATTTGAGAATCTTACTTTCGGGAATGATTTCAATTGTGTGCTTTATAGCACGGTCAGTTACTCTCGTTGGTTCAGTCTGCAAGTCTTTATATTCATTGAGTAGTTTGTCAATAGAATGACGATAGGACGAAGAACATTCACCTACACGTTTGACAAGTACCATCATTACATCATGTGCCAACGTTTTCTTCATTATCAAAGTTCGAAAGACAGGTAGACTCATACAACAGAAAAATAATGATGAGTAGAACCCGACTTGTGAAACAAATTAATCGATTCTATTTTTGA